GGACCTTTTCTTTTGTTTTCGAACAGATTGCTACCTGTTCGGACCCAGGCCGACGTTGAGGCCGGGTACGTCCGCACAGGACCGGTTCGAAGCCAGGTACCAGGAAACTGAATCCTGGACAGGGCCTGGACGTCYSGTAGGGACCCAGGCAGRCCGTTTTAGGCCARGGRCTGAACCAGTTTCAAAGCCTRCGATCTGGACCGTGGATCGGATTTCGATCTGCACGGCCCAAAACGCAGGCCGTGGGTTTTCAGTCCTGGCCCAGCGCTACATAAGCTGGGTCGTTGCCCAGTTCGTGGACAGAAGGTACCAGGAGAAATCCAGCGTTATGCTGGTTCAGGAACTTCAATGCTGCACTATTTTGGAGACTCCCTGCTGCGCTATTTTGAGACTGCAGTTGCGCTGCTCATCGGCCATGAGGCACAGCGCTGGAGGGGTCCAACACCAAGGAGGGTAGTGGAGAGAGAGAGAGAGAGAGAGAGAGAGAGAGAGGGAAAGAGAGAGAGAGAGAGAGAGAGAGAGAGAGAGAGAGAGAAAAGGACTTACCTGCACCAGCGCCATAGCTGGCTCCGCGGTACCTGCAAGTTCAGCATCGCCAGGTAAGTGCAGAAAGCGCCTAACTTTCTTCTTCTTTTTCTTCTTCTTCTTCTTCTTCTTCTTCTCCTCTCCTCTTCTCCTCCTACTCCTCCGAAGTCCTTCTTCTTCTTCTTCTTTTTCTTCTTCATCTTCTTCTTCTTCTTCTTCTTCTTCTTCTTTATTAGAGTAGAGATAGAGGTAACTGCAGACATTGTTTGGACACGGCCTTTTGCCTTATTGGACACGACATTCAGATCGGACTTACACTCTATATTGGGATTGAACTGTGCACGACATTCGGAGATCAGACCTGGGTTGGACTTGGTTACTATATCCCTCCCCCTTCTCTCTCGCATGTCTATGGATCTCTCCCTATGTGTGTGAGTGGAAGGGCAATCTTTCTAATGTTTTGCCCTTCCGAAGTTTCTCCCTTTCATATTGTCATCCACATGTCCTTTTGCTACTAAATCTTTCGCTGCGCTGCTTCCCATCCTATGATGATAATGATACGAATGTGTTGTTGTTGATTTCTCGTTGTTTCACTCTTTGCATCGTGCACATTGACACCTTGTGAATGTTGCAAATATGCTGCTGGTTGTTGCCACTCTCGTCATTGCTAGATCCTAGGCTTTCAGTGCATTTCACTTTCTGATATGCTACATTGTTGTCAGGTCCCTGTAGCGCCCTGCCAGCCAGGCAGGGCGGATTCCATGCGAGGCAGCCAACTGCCTCGCTTCATTCAGTTCCGGACAAGTACTGTAGCATCCTGTATCGGACCGCAATCACAACATAAGTGATATTGTTGTTGTTTATTTATCTGTTGTTCGTGGATAGACGAGGGCCCTGAGTGAACTTCTACCTAAAGGCAGCCCGAGTTTCAACTGCAATTGAAACTCGGACCCTGACTAAACAACTAAAATGCAGTTTCAAATGCAATTACAAACTATTTTCGTGACTGCACCGAAGTTACCCCTAAAGTAAAGGAAGGGGAAACATAAACCCATCAGGTATACAGCTCGTGCGTCACATGCTTATCATTCTCACTGCCCCCAAAGTACGGCTCATGTACCAAGCTCCAAATACTAACCTTCATAAAACATAAGCACAAACGATAGCCACATTGTCATACACCAATGTGGTCAACTTTATTGTTCTTGTAACTCACACCACGCCTCACACACTCAAGCCCCAATCATAGTTCAACTTTTCATAAATCTCATAAGTTCTTTATAATGGTCATTGAAATAAATTTGGTTAAAACCCTCAAAGAAACATATCAAATCTCAGGGCTAAGGCATCAAGTGGAGGTACAGGTATAAACAAAGTTGTGTTGTGAGCCGACAAGTCGACGATGAACCAACCGACTTGTTATCAGTGATAACAGAAGATGATCCTCACAGGATCAGGCTGAAACTTAGTCCAAATCTTGGATCGAATGTCCAAAGAAAACCTGTATCATACGACAGGTCAATGTCCAATCTAAATTGTCAATGTATGGTGATCAAATCTCCATGACACATTCTCACTCAAGTATAGCCAAGCCTAGGTCTACCTCTAAGCAAGTGTCCGAAGAAAGGTAGACTTATCGCAGAATCTCCTCAATACAGAGTGGATTGTCATAGTCGCCACCTGTCAAAAATATAATCTATTTCCTCTAAACTAAGAAAATTTCGGCAGCGCTTCCCGTAGGAAAAGAGTCTTTCCAGAATTTATATCAGCCTAAATGTGAAAACAGAAATAATCTTCAATCTTTAAAAGTCCAGTTTTGTTTAATCCCCTGAATTAGCAAGACTTTGGGTAGGACTTCCTTTAGAAAAAGAGACTTTCCATATTTTTACTAAGCCTTATATAAAAATAAGACAAGTTGAACTTTGAAAAGTCAAATTTTGACTAACTCCTTGGTTTTGTAGAA